CTGTAACATCTAATACAGGCTCTTTATCATTAACCTAACAGATGTCACACCTGTAAGCTGCATGTTTTGGTGTTTTCCTTTTTTTATTGGTCACATGGTTTCCAGAGCGCACTTGTGGAGAGAGGTGGTGTGGTGTATGTGTGCCACACTTAACTGCCATCACATTAATTAAAGGGTGTGCCAGTCTGACAAGTTTGTGGACTTTACGTTATATGTGGTAAACAGACCAACTGTCAGACTGTGCTTCAATAAACACTCACGTCAGGTTTAGTTAAAAAACAAGAAAAAAGCATCCACAGTGTTAGGAGTCATGCTGCTCTCCTGCAAGTGCAGCGCAGAGAAGTGACAATCTGCCAAAAAAGTAATGTTTGTTTGTTTTAGGTTGTTTTTAATGTGCAAGACCTTTGCTTATATTGTTAAATAGGCTATTGTCAACATAATTCAATCAATTCAATTTTATTCAAGGGGCTTTATAATGTAAGATAAAAACCCTGTAACAATACAGAGAGAAAAGAGAAAACCCCAACAGTTGGATGCCCCCTATGAGCAAGCACTTTGGTGACAGTGGGAAGGAAAAACTCCCTTTTAACAGGAAGAAACGTCTGGCAGAACCAGGCTCAGCTGCAAACCACTCCAGTGAAGGTCACATTCTGATGAAGCCAAACGAACCAACCAGGACAGAACCTGCTTTGCTGCACCTGGGTCCAAGTTTCAACAACTGACCTCCTTTCCTGGAACAAACCTTCTCCAACAGCATGTAATACCCTGACAACTGGAGCTCACTCTCTGGTCCCCCTTTTTGAAAATGGGAATCACCATCCTGGTTTGCCAGTCCACAGGCACTGTGTCAGACCTCCACGTCTCATTAAAGGCGTATGTCAACCAAGGCAGTATCCAGAGCCTTTAGCATCTCAGGGTGACCTTCATCTAAACCTGTCGTCTTGCCAACAGGGAGCTCTCTTTACCCAAGTGTCCAAAGCATACAGCCTCAGATCAGATGTTGCAGTCTGTGTAGGACAGAAGTCCAAAAGCATCCCCTCAGCACCTAACACCATCGGATACTCCAGAAAAGGACAAATCCAGAGTCCCATCTGCCAGACTTTTGTTCCAAAACCCTTGGTACCTGTGGAGGTGAGACAAACTACATCTAGTCAGTAGTGCTCCAGCTCACATCCCAAAAACCATTCTGCGATACTGGGGGTCCACATGCCCAGCCTCCCACCTTATCCTACCACCCACGTCACACTGCACCTGATCATAATTGATATCCAGGGGGACTACAGAACACTAGTGGATTTTTTTGTGAAGTGGCCTGAGAGAAATCATCTGAATGTGAATAAAACCAGAGGAACTGTGAGGGAACCTCAGAGGGAAGAGGACACATACACTGTGTCTGTGTTGAGACATAATATTAATGTGGTGGAGGAGTAAAAGTACCTGGACATCCACATGGACTGAGGCAGGAAGTAACAAAGTACAAATACTTCTCAGGTATTTTCAGGTACCTTACTGGAAATACTTACTTACTAGTTGTTTTTTGACAGCCTTTCACTATTACTCCCTGCATTTTAACACAAATATTTGTACTTTCTACTCCTTACATTTTGAAAACAGGCTAGTTACTTTAGGCTCAGCGGTATCGTCTAGTGTTTATACTCAGTGGTTAAAGTGGACGGAACAAGTGCAGCTATGTTGGAGCCAGCTTCTAGCTAGTGCTACAGAAGAGGAATGAGTCCAGGGTGTAACGTTTGTTATGTTTGACATTTCTATCTATCAACAAACATCAGCAAACACACAAACTAGGGATGCAACGATACCAATTTTTTCAAACCGATACGATACCGATACTTGGATCTGAGTACTTGCCGATACAGAGTACAAAAACCGATACTTCTACCACACACATACATGCAATGAATTGGAAGACAGATTTTATTTTATTCTCTGCCGATAAAAAATAAAATCTTAATAAAAATGACCACAAAAAAATTTCAAGTGAAAAATAAGCACTTCTGTTAAATTATTGCAGAGTCTCCACATTGTAATTTAACAAAATATCACTGAACTATTGCCACCGTCTCGAGCTTTCAGAATAATAAATAAACACTTCTGTTTGGAATAAAATAAATACAAATTAGGTTTGAGAATAAAATAAATGTTTAAATTATTGCAGAGTGTCCATATTGTAAACGAACAAACAAAATAACGAAAGTATCTGGCATTGACGAACAAACTCCTCATCTGCCCGTGAATCATCAGTGTGCCGTTAAACTGAGGACTGACATCGCGCACACACTGCTTGTCTTTACCTCTTCAGAAAGTTTTGGCACCATTATCTCCCTGATGTATGGGCGGTTGGGAATTTCATATCGCAGCTCGAGTACGAGTACGCTGAGAAGACGGTGCTATCCTATGTTTTCCACGGCTGGTCCATTGGCTGGTCATCCAGAGCGATAAAATGAGTCAGAGCCTGTGTTATTTTAACTGCCCGTGGATTTTCTCTTGACATTTTTCATTGCTTTTCCAAAACCTGAGTTAAAGTTGGCTGTTCCGGTCCACACTGCTGACATTTTGTTTAGCCTAGCTACAGCAGCCTCCAGTTTCTCTTTTTTATCTGAAGCCGCCACTCTCACTCGCTTAACCTGTGCCTGTTTAGTGCGGGATGTCCCCCTAGTGGCCAATCTAAAGAACTACAACAGAAATGACAAGCCACCCTCTGATTAATGAAATAAGTTAGTATCGGTTCATGGTATCGGTTAACTTTTATGAGTATGAGTACACACACATTTTACAGTATCGGCCCGATACCCGATACCAGTATCGGTATCGGTGCATCCCTAACACAAACTGTTCATGCGCAGTTTAGAATAGAATAGAATAGAATAGCCTTTATTGTCATTGTACAGAGTACAACGAAATTGGAGTGCCACTCCCTTGGTGCAAGATAAATAATAAATATAAATGTAAAATATAAAAAGTACAATAAAATAATCGCAAGTACTCAAACAATAGTAAGTACGATATATACGGGATAGCAGCATTAATATAATGACAGAATAGCAGCATAATATAATGGCAGTGACGGTATGGTATAGCTAAGCAGGTTCAATTGTTTTTGTGCTCATTTACTACGGTTTATTTACTACAGTTTGTCACAAAGTGTGTTGCTAACGGTCCAGATGTTGGATTTCCAGAGAGGGAAACGAAAGAGAGCAAATTTCAATCATAGATGGAGAAAAATGTAAGAAAAGACATGAGAGGAACAAGAGAGGTTATATTAAAGGTAATGACTGCTCGTGACACTTGATAAACTGCAGATTTACAGATGACATGTTATAATTTTTAATCTTTTTAATCTTATGTAATCTTCAGTAAAGAAGTTGAATCAAGTCTGTGTATTTCTCCTTACGTACTTTTGCCACCTCTGCACTCTGAGGCCAGGCTGAACTGGAAGTCTATCTTTCTTTAACATGCGCAGCAGATACTGGAGACGTTTTTCTGTCAGTTAGTTGTTAGTCTGCTGACAACAACAGACTGAACAAACTGACAGAAAAGGGAGCTCTGTGGTTTACAGGTCACTGAACAAGTGGTTTCCCCTCATGGATGTTATTAGATTATTAATACTATTATTATTATTATTAAATAATAATAAATTCCAGTGATCACAGTTCTGTGTTAGGTTTAGGCAAAATGACGTTGTCACATCAGGCCAGGGAGGTTTGGACAGATTCTTTTCCATAATAGATAAAATCATCATCAAACTGCATTTTGTATTTTTGTATTTCCTCTTTATAATATTACACTTTGATCAGTATTCATGTGTGACAAATAACTAAGAAATCAGGCCCTGTATCTGCAACATCAACTGCAGCTTGATGGCTGTGGTTTTACTTTTCAGAGGTGAATAAAGCCACAGCTACTAACACAGAACTGCTGAAATTAGTTTTGTTGGCTTCAAAGTTCAGTGAATCACAAGGTCTCTTTTTCCTGTTGCACCCTTTTTTCTGCTGACCACAGCAGGTGTCCTGCACGACACACACACACACACACACACACACACACACACACACACACACACACACACACACACACACACACACACACACACACAAAAAAAAAATCCTCTCTTACACGTACAGATTTTTAGTCTTCATACTCAAGACATACTTCACTAAGAGAGAATGGCTAGTGACAGGATCTATGCTGCTTTACCTGAGCCGCCTCGTCAAAGCCAAGCAGAAAGCAAAGAAGAAGAAAAGAAGGCTTTTGGGAATATTTTTGCAGAGTTGGAATCTGTGGACTTACCTCTTGGAACCACCTTAAGGTAAACTCCAAAACACACCCAAGATTTATCTGCTGAACACAACTGAAGGTGGACTGATTTAGCTAAATTACAACATTTAAAACGCTGGTTTATCTTAATACCAAGACCAGGAAAAAACGCACTTAGAAGCTAGCGGACACATGCAAACTGTGTTCGCTTTGATTAAACTGTGAGTTCAATTACAGACATTTAATGTGAAAAAAGCTTAGTATTATTAGCGTCAGTGTGTATCACTTGTCAGGCTTTACCAGAATTGTATCTTGATTTAACAAAAAAAAAAAAAAACCCATAAAGATGTAAATAGCCTCCTCTGCATGTTGTTATTTAAAATGTATCTACAGCAGAACTGAGATGAATCAAATAGAAGCCACTAAAGCTCATTTGATAGCAGGCATCTTTATTATTACAAGTACCGTGTGAATGACAGTACAAATTATTTTCCTGTTTTTTACTGCTAACCATGCAAACCACTCGCTATACAGTATTTATGATAAGATCATAAACAGTCAAAACCCGTGTGGTTTTCCATGTGGTACAATGTTTGAGGAACCAGGCACAGGCTATGCGGAAACAAAGCCGCAATCACCGGGGTCAACACGACCGTAGTGCGCCTCCCACAGGCCGGACCTCACACTGACCTATGCTCCGCTGTAGCTGCAGTGATAGCCGTAATATGCACATAACAATCATGGCGGACAGTGAAACCCTGGAGTGCATAACGGAGCACGAGCGGATTTTACAGGAAATTGAAAGCACCGACACAGCTTGTGTCGGTCCGACTCTTCGGTAAGAATATATAGCTTCTAAAAATGCCCTTAGCAACATAGGTCCTGTGTTTTTCACTGTGTATTACATGATCACACCTTTTGTTTAAGACCTAGCTTAGCCTTACCCAGTAGCAGGCTAGCGCTGGCTATTTTAGCCAACAGTCAAGATAGTGTTGAAATGAGGAATGGGGCTAGCTGTCGTGTTAGCAGCAGTGACTGTGAGGTAATCTTTTAGGTTATGTGTAAGGATGGATGACTAGTGACCTGTCAAAAATGTCAACATCATTTGTGGGTGTGGCTGTGGGACTTCACATCCTTACGTCGTTGTGCAGCTTGAGTTAGCTAACGGCTAACAGGTAACGATTTTGGATAGTTGTTGGCTGAAATAAAACGAATGCCACGAGCGGATAAGAACACTGACCCTGTGGTGTTGTGTTATGTGGGCGACAGTAGTGACACAGGATGCCGGTTTGCTCAGCCTGACGTTCCCCAACACACCGCGCTGGTTATTTTAGGCAATTAGATGCCAAAGTAGCTTCCGAGGCCACAGTGAATAACATTAGCTGAATGCTTCCACCTGTCACACCTGTCCTGTAGACGTGCCTGTAGGCCGTGGTTGTTTCTCATACCTGGGGAGAGTGATGAGTGTATACCCTCCAGGTAACAATGCTATCTAGCTTTCTCAGCGCGTGTCTTCATCTCTTATCTCTAGGGTGACGCTGTCTTTTCTTCATCTCTTGGCAGCTTGGTCGGGTGTTGTAAAATGACAGTGACGTGCTGTCAGTGATCATAGGGGTTTGCTTTGCTTACTGTAGAGCTTACTAATAATAAGAATACTAATTGAAAGGGTCGGGCTAAAAACGGGATTTTTCTTATAGCTAATATTAGTGAATATTTCCTGGATAATAACACGTGCAAATGCAGCTCTGGTGCAGTGCATAGGCCTTTCCTGGGTGTGGACTATTATATGGCTCAGTGGACAGAGTCATAAACACTGGGTGTTGTGTGGTGGACTGACTTCTCTTTTCATGATGGTAACAGCGAGTCAGTTACTCCAGTATTAACATTACCACTTGGCACTCATGTTCAGTCTTATAAATCACCATTGGAGCTGTGCCAGCCTGAAAGCATCGTCCTTGTAGTTCCAGTCAGTACAACAGTCGTTAAGGATAAACCAGAGGACTTAGGCAAAGACATGTCCTCACTATGTCTTTTTTTGTAGATAAAAAAGACAATCTGACCTTGCTGAGGAATGCAGGTTATGTTGGCATATTTGTTTCAATGAAACATTTGTACTTGTTTCCTTCAGCATCTTCACAAGGTCTTCTTCTTTTGTGCTAGCATAGATTCACTTGTTTCGGAGTGCATTTGCTCCTAGGTGGGAGGGCACGTCTCCTTTAGTGTTGGGCGTCATGTCCATAATTATTCTGTTGTCCTGCTTGAGATTGCAAATATCCAAGACCATTTTTGTGAAGCAGGGGGCAAACATGCTAACCATTAAGGCAGCACTGGCCGCCCTCCATAATACATACTGTGCAAGTGAAATACAAAGAATGCAAAATAGACACTGGGGAGGTAATGTCCCACTTTCAGACACACAGGAACAGCTAAAACAGTTATCATATTTGTGTGGTTCTTATGACTTTTAATAATTTTACTAACATGTTTAGTCTAGTTTGTGTAAAATGGCTTGACTCCTGCATTCTTAGTAATGTCCTCATTAACACCGCGTTCTTTAATCCACCAAAACAATTGATGTAATAGAAAGTTGAGTGGAGATAGGTTAACTGGAAACACTAAATTGCCCATAGGTGTGGATGTGGGAGTGAATGTGAGTGCGATTGGTTGTCTGACCAGGGAGTACCCTGCCTCTCACCCCAAGACAGCTGGGAAAGGCTCCAGGATGGAATGGGTGGGTGAAAGTTGAGAGAATAAACTGTCATCTCTGCAAATCATACTTTAATTAAACCTGAAATTAAAATCTAGCCAACGTCCAAAAATGCCTGCCATCCATTTTTATGAGTTCAGTAGTGATCAGTGTAGCTGCTCCCTCACATACATGTTAACTTCAAAAGCATGAACTTATGTGTGTGCGCACCAAAAACAAATGTTAGATCCAGAAATGGCTGTGGTTGCTTTCCTCTCGTGTAATCTTGCAGGTTCTGTTGATCAGTAATATTCTATAATGCAAGATTTCTTTTGACGTTCTTGTAGATAACACAGTAAACATACTAGAAGAAACAAGGACCCTGTTCTTGCATATGGTGATAACGATATACACAGTGACATCTGGTGAGAATTTCAAGTAAGCAGCATTTCAAAATAATTTACTTAGAAAATTGGTGACGTGTTCAAGACTTATTTTACCCACTGTATATCATAATATAGTGCATTTTTGTAAATTCAGTGAATAGTCTATATAATTACAACATGGAAAGTACTGTTTCTTTTTTACATTTCAGTTAAATTATCAAAAGCACTTGGTGACTAGCAATGTAAATATAAAACATGAGTGTATAAAATCTAAAACACTTTTCAATAACAAAATGACCAAAGGCCCAACATAAGATGCCAAATGCCAATGAAATAGAAACTATAGCAATATAAGGCTCACAGCATATATTTAATATAAAAATATCAAAACACTTACAACTATATAAGGCTAATAAACACTTAAAGAAAATAAATATGGGAGTTATCATTTACTTATTTATATGGCACATTTAATTACAACAGCAGCCTGGACCAAAGTGCAGTACAAAAACACAAAATAACTAGTACCAAATAATAGGGTTGTTCAGTATAACGATATATATCGGCTGATGATAAGAAAACGTCTGTCGTTTCATTTTACGCTGTCGTTTGTTTTGTGGTGTCACAAAATAAACTGTTTACGGCAACATTTTTCAAGGATTTGACGGTCACTGTGGAATTAACTTCTCTCTTCCTCTTATATTTAAAATAACCACACTATGGACGCAGAAGCGACTGTTCTTATGCGTTGTCGTTAGCAACAACGTCGGTAAAACCATTGCGTGGCTCCGCCGTCCGCTTGTTTATTTTCCACATAAACCTTTCATAATAAAGCTGAAGATCCTGTTGAGATTTTTCAAAATAAACTGAATCACGTGAAGTTGTATGCAGTGTGTTTACGGACGAGAAGCTAAAAAGAGCCGTCAGATGTTAAAAAATAAACCTTCGAACAGGCTTTTTCCCGCAGCGTGCCATGTAATCGATGCTCACAAACAAAATTATGGCTGTTTTAATTAACGTAACACTCGATTGCAGCTACACGACGCCCAGCTGAAAACACTTCATGCAAGTCGAGCTGCCCGAGATTCACAGAATTTACAGAAAATGTAAAATGTTTGTGATTTATATCGTTGTCGGGACGATCAATGTTTTATATTGGGATATGAGATTTTGGTCATAACGCACAGCCCTAACAAATAACTACTAATATTAGTACCAAACACCAGTTATGTTGCATCATACGTAGTGACACACACCAGATGACAGTCACGCAGTTCTTATGATTCAAACCTCTGGCTATTATGATGTCTCTCTGTGGTGGTCACAAAGTGTCCAGTCTTGGTTCAATGAGTTGGGGCTGCTGTAGCTGAGGTGGTCGAGCAGGTCATCTGCTAATCTGAACGTTAGCAGTTCCATCCAGTCTATGTCAAATATCCTTGAGCAGATAATATAAGATAATAACCCCAAGTTGTTCTCCGTGTGTGAATCTTAGGCAAGTTGCATAAAGCACTTTGAGTGCGCAGATAAATTAGAAAAGTGCTGTAAAAGAACCAGTCCATCAATCAGTGTGCTGTTTAGCTTGTCTTCATATCTGTTGTTGCACTCATAATATAAATGCAGCTGAGTCCTTTGTATCTGGAATCAGTGATTTTTGTAAAGTTGATTTGAATTTGCACAGTTAAATTTTCTGATCCGTATCAGATTTTTCATAACAGTGTCGATGCTACAGAGGAAGCCCCTTGTTTAGGAATGGACACCCCATTTTCTTTTGGCTGGTTCTTTTGTACTGCTGATGTTTCTGTTGCAAACTGTCATCCAAAGTGATGAAAAAGTATTGCAGTAACTGCGTATTTTGTGACAGCAGAGTCTGTGCAATGTCTGTCATTCTGCGCAGACCCACGGCCAAAAGCTGCAGAAGCCTATCAACGGTTCCATCCAGCGTTAACCTGTAGAGCAGGATTAAGTGCTTTTGTTGAAGGATTGTTCTAATGCAAGCCCCCCAAACACAGGCGCACACACACAAATACAAAACTGTGTAAATGAATCTATGAATCAAAATTGAATCTATGAGTAGCACAGAGGTATATTACAACATCTAGTTAATTTCGATTTTTATTCATTTAAGTTTAGTTTAGGTTAGTGTATGAAATTGGTTTGCTCATATTGCTTTACATGTATTTTTAAGTTTAGTTTGTGTTAGCTTCAGTATTAGTTTTGTTTTTGTAATATTATGAGCTGTTTTTGTCAAAGGCCAAATTTAGATGAGTGCACGAGTCCTTCTCCTGTAGTAGTCTCATCAGATTCGTGCATCAGAGGCTCTCTTTCACTGTAAGTGTTGATAAGTGTGATAAATGTTTGGCACCTTACCAGACCAGAAACTATTTAGCAAGAATTTCAGTGTAACTGACAGTCCTCCCATTGCAACACCGTAGGGTGTGTTCCATTGACTCCAACACTCATAAACTGGCAGCGTAGTTGTTTTGTCTCATGTTTCTGCCCCTGGTTTTACCGTCTTGTGCCAGATACGAACTTTGACTTCACCCTTGGTAGTTGAGCTGGCGGAGGATTTAAATTTGATTAGGTGAAGCAGCTGATTTGTTTAACAAAGTAACTCCAACTGCAGGTCAGTCTGTCGCTCCACAGAAGTCATGTCTGAGGGGACTTTAGTATATTAAGTCAAGAGTGAACCAGACATTCAAATTCAGAGAAAATGTAACCAACCTTTGCCTCAGATTAAAAAAAGTATTTGTTATATGAAGCTCATTA